GTAATATCATATGTGTTTACCCTATTTCGTTTAAGGTCCACCTTGGAAGAGAACTACTTTTGGGAAAGCAAGGCTATTCGAAATTCATTGGAAACGTCAGCTCTACTCATATCATTGTGGAAAAATTCTACTACCAGTCCTTCATCTCCTTAAACAAAATAGGGTGAATACATCTCATATTACTAATTTACTGTTAGTCTCGACACTATTCAAATACGAATTATAAACTCCTGTTATCTGAGCATACCGTGGACGCCTATCTCTGGTCGCATGCAACATCTCAAGTAAATTTCTAGTATATTTTGGCCATAATACCGAATTTCTGTGACGGTTGTGCTTATCCTTCTCCCTGCCAGGCCTCCAAAGTTTTGCTGGTTTCTTAGAACACAATTCACTTTCTTAGAACGTTTTCACTTGATCAACGATAGGTCCTTGATCCAGGTGTCTTCTTTTTGATGGCCTTGCCATATTCTTGCCTTCTCCGAGCCTGCTTAAGCAGTAGGCAACTTTATCGCTAACTCTGTCTTCCTCCGATCTCCTCTTCATTAGATTTTTTCTCCCCAAAATGTCAATGGTCCCCTTAATCTTCCGCTTTCTTGTATTTTCAACCTATGAGCTCCTCTTTCTGTTGCCTACCAAGTGAGCTCGTGTCTAATCTGTGCAATGTGTTCCACTATATCCTATCTTTCTACATCCATTTTCCTGCAGAGCCTTTGATGTCCCTTAATTCATATGCTTTTGATGTTTTTTTTCATATTTTGCCAATATATTTCTGTTCGCAGGCGCCGCAAGCTATGACGTAATCTCCTGAGCAGTTCACAAGCGTGGGTAGGCATGTGAAGAATTTTGTTTTTTCCTTCGTGCTCACTTGAATATTCCATTTGTTACTATTGGCCGTGGTTTTTAAGTTAGTTCACAGGAGGGTAGGCATATCCACTTTTCTGAGTCTTTCTCCGTCCTTAATGCTCTTTCATAATCCCAAGTCTACTACCGGCTTTTCACGACCCGTATGTTTCTTTGCATTACTTCGCTTTGGTAACCGTTGTCGAGACAGATCCAAATCACTTTGTCCAATTCTTCGTCCCAGAATTCCGCGTCTGTTAATCGTAGGCTTCGGATAATCATGCTTCCCATTATTCTTATCCTTGATCTGTAGTTTGGACTGGACTGAAAATTGAGTATTATCCCGCCATATGACTTCCTTCTGAGCAATTTCCTATTGAGTGTCTCATTAGAGTGAACGACTTCAGCATCTATCAAAGGTTACCTATCACATTGCTCTTATTCCATTGTGAATTTGATTTTTTCATCAATCTGTTTTATAAACTGTATAAAATCCTCAAGTTTTTCTCTGACAGCGACCATACCAAGGGCCACATCCTTTTGGCCTTTATATCTTCTATTAAACTTGACTTAACACTTTCGCAAATAACTCCTAACTACAAAATCCGTCACCCCGAGCAGAATACCAGATTGCCTATATCGGTGACATGGAAAATCTATTGATTCTTTCGACCATCCCTAACATGCCAGCATGCAAGTTTAGCTAATTAGCCTACAAAATATTAAATATATAATCTTATATATATATATTTGTGTACATAAAATTAAGATATGTATGGTATATAAAAATATAATACAACATGGGACTGAAATAGATAGGCAAGTTAATCGGTCTGGGACTCTCAAAGCCTTACAGTATATTACAAAGCCTTTTCCGTTTCATGGGTTTCTTGTGAGTGTGGTTAGCAAAAACCCATATACATCTCAACCCATTTTCTCTATGCGAATTCGCATTGGGCTCCTATTTCTGACTTCTGAAAATTCTTATTAGTTAAAGATAGCGAAATTTCAACGCGACTAGACTATATGCGATTGTTATTATCCTGTGCTGAGAGGCTGCCTGTTAAACAGGAAATACAAGCTCGGCAGGGGGTCACCAATTACAGCTCTTGAATAAAAAGGCTTTATAGCTACAATTTGGTCAGCATGCTGGGGACAAATTAAAGGATATTCTCTAGCAATTAGTAGAAAGCG